GCACCAGTTCGTTTCTACATTTTATATCAAGCACTGGATACATAGGTTACAAGCTTAGGTGACATTACAATATTAAAAATGTCTTTCTCTCCACCTCCTGATTTGCAGATCATATGTCTCTCCTACAAATCAAGGCGTCTACTCAATCCAGTTGGTGTCTCTTGAACTTCGGCGGTCTCTCCCGAATTTAGCGACTGTCTATCGATAGGCCAGAGCTCTGATGGTTTTCTACCCTTGGGTTTCGGCTTTCAATTATCCAATTGGTCAAATATGACGTAATTAATTATAATGAATGTTTGCTAAGCCAAATGATGCAATGGTAATTTTCCTGCCATTAGTGTAAACATGGTATTCTGGTTTCACCCAGAATCGGCAATGTTTATATGTGCCAACCTATCACTCATTTTAATTTGAGTGCTTGAGATATGACTTCTCTACAATACATGCATATGAATCCAATAATTAGTTAAAGATATAATATAATGCTATTATTAATTTATAGAGCAAAAATTCTATCAATCTTACTAGAATCAGCGTCATTCTGCATTAAGATCTAAAGCTTCATACCCGTTAGGGAAATGTCAGACAGCCATGGCTACAGCTTTCAACAAAAGTAAAGAGGCGATTAAATATACCTTCTATTTAGTAACAGGTTGTCATGATTGTAACCTTTGAGTCAGATGAAGTTGTCAGTCTTAATATTCTGAGGCTGGTATAGAGATATAGTGATCCTATGTAGAATCAGGTCCGGCATCCAATACAGAACTTCTATCATCATCTTTTGGATTTGAAACTGGCAGTCGGATGTAATTGTCCACATATCAATATTGGGTGGGATTTAGTAACTGGCAGATTCAAACATAGGGAGGACCAATAACCATTCATATTAAATTAGGATGAGTTCTCTCAAATCAAACGATGGCAATCACGGTAGAGGAGATTCGTATTAATGAAATAGTTACGCCTCGTGTATTCAAGATATCAGCTTCTGAAAGAGATGATCTGGAAGAAGACCCTAGGTCAATCCTATGACCTGAAATTAATAAGAACTAAAACAACTCTATGAATATGTTCTTTATAAAATAATCTTTAATGGTAATCTGTATACAGTTCTAACGAATTGATTCCTGATAATTATAAATTGGGCCACCGAAGATTATTGAACTTTTTAAAAAGTTACAACTGACAAATATTGGATCAGGGGCGTATTCATTAAAACTTAAACTAAAATATTTAAAGAATTCTCATGGTTCATTGACTGAGCTCTAAAATCATAGCACAGTTTCTGCGATAAATGCCCAGGAGTCCTTACTTAGGACATTTAAATGCCTACCATTTACCAGTATATAAACATGTTCACTTCTAGTTCCACATGGCCTCCGGTATATATCTACTATCGACATCCTAACTACATTTCCCGTACAGTATGTTTTGCACAGAGCTAAGAATAGCCTCCAGCTAAGACCTGGCCTCCTGAGAATTGGTTTTGTAAATTTTTGCAAGTTTTTTTTTATTGAAATGTGTCAATAAATGAATGTTCATAGAATTGAAATCACTTCCATCCGATAGAACAACCAATCCGCACTTGAAGATTACACTACCTTATATGACCAACCCATGACCAAAGATGTAATAGTAATCCCGGGAGAAGGCCCTGTCATAACCAGCAAATGTATTTGATGGAAAACATGAACCCATGTGGACTGTAGCAGTAGTACGGGTAGCTGGCAGCTTGCGATCCCGATCTCTGATGTCCGCTGGGAACGATGGCCACTATCATGATGGTTGTGTGGTGGCATCCAAACCTTTATAGGGCGGTTCTGGTACCCATGTCCTCCTGAATTAAGGCTGTGGTGTGTTCTTGGCAGATCACCGGGTCTTCCACAGAACTGTAGAAATGGTGCTGACTCTCGATTTTCAAAAGTTGTATAAAATCTGTCGAATTCAGCGATCTTGAAAATATTATTCTTAAATATTATCGTCGTAATCTGCTGTTATTTCATTTAAAATTGCAAGATTAAAGTGTATCTCTCAAAAGTGATTTACAATTATTCATTGATAAAAGTGGTGCATTTTCATTGCGTCTCGATTTATTATTTCAACGAATAAAAATATTTCAAAGGTTGATGGCCGCTATACGCTTTTGGAGCCCATAATAGCTATATGTCGTTAAGTTCATTCTACGAATTTTCTCTTAGTCATTATGAATAACCACTAAAATGCCATACGAATAACAGCTTACATACATTATAAATATAACTATATGTATGTTACTATATTTGTTGTGTATTTATTATTTCAATGATAAAAATATTTGAAAGGGTACAGGACTATATACAATAGACATACATTGACAAGTTCATTCTAAGAAATTTCTCTGTTGAATGTATATTCTGCAAACTTCGAGAATAGGTCTCTGTCCTGAATGGCTGCCATGTACAACAATTAATATACTGTTTTCGACTAAAATCCTCGATTTAGGACTTAACATGTCGGTCAATTAGCTTAGTGTCTGTTCTCAAGCAGAGTTAACCGTAGACAGACAGCGTAAGTTTCGTATGTTAAATATGAATTCCATTATGAATAACAATTAACATTTGTTATGAAAGAGCAATGTGCTATTGATCAATTTCTGTATTAAGACGTTTGATTCTTGAAAGGAAAACAATTTATATGCAATATCATTCGGGAAGGGAAAGTGCGGAGTTAACACGATATACGTTGGATAATCTGATATAAATTTGCTTAACCTTTTGATAATTATACTTATTTAATGAAATAGAAAGTCTAACGAGAGATCTTACCGTCTTTAATATATCAACATGTTCTTCGGTGAGTATTTTATATATCTACTTACGAGAGGGGGTTGGGTGGCCGAATGGTTTAACGCGTGCGCATTAGTAGATCATAAGGTCTGTCATTGGGTCAAGTGACGTGGTTTCGATGTGCGTGACCCGGAATAGGGTCACCTCCGGATGACCCCCCCCCCCCATTGCTATGGGCCGCTACGAGCAAGCCAATTATTGAAATAAAATTTAAACGTGTTAGTAACTCTGTTAGATGAATATGAAATCTATCTATCGATCTATCTATCTATCTATTATGTTGGTGATACCATGCTTATTAAAAGTATTGACACGCTATTTAACTATTCATAACCATTTACAAAACCTTGACAGGAGTAGCGATCAATGTTTTATTCAATAGATATTGAATTTTTGGTTTATTCCCACGCTGGCTTGTAGAATATGTACTTTATCATTAATTTGATACGTTGACTGAAAGCGGGAGTTTTCTAAATAAACAAAATAATAAACAGGTTAGTTGTCGATATTTTCACGCGTGTTTTCATATATAATTCTATGGTGGGCGTTTAGGACTCGCTTTTTGAATCTGGATTGAAAAAATAATCAAAGGTGGCATTTTTTAAGATAAATGTTTGTAGCTCGTTTTCAAACCATCCGAGTCAGGTGAATACCTGTGAACTATTTAAGGATCGACTGTTTTAGACGGGTCGGGATGGTCCAATAGTCTATGGTGTCGCGCTTCGATCTATGGCTGGTCACCTCTGGCTTGCAGTCGTAGTTTCGGTCCCTGGTGTGAGCGTATGTGGCTTGGGGGTAGGGGCACCTTCTCAACCTCGTGGTTTTCCTCCCACGGGAAAGTCCCCTGCGCGTTCGCTAGGCATAATAAAAAAACACAACTTGTCTGCGATATCACCATCGTTGGAAGCGGACATTAAACACTAATAGAAGAATTTCTGTCGGTTTCGATAATGAGCTAATTATATATGTTATACAAAAGATCACCTTTCTCTACAAGGGTTGTGGGTATTTACGGGCTCTAAAGGGTTAATTTACCTGAAGAAAATAAAAATATATTTAAAGAATATGATATAATTTTTCAAATCTCAGCACTATACTAGATTAAATCACACTTCTGAGGAATCGTTTTCTGAAAGTCAGCTGTCATGTATAATTGGTCGATTTACATTTTTCCAAAGGTGTTGCCATCAGATTCTCTAATTAATAGAATGATGTCGAGGTTTCTTTAAAGAATGATTTTAGTGTACATCGTTATATATCAAAACGCCGTATAGATTTAGATTTATGTTGCTTAATTCGTTTCAAAGGTGATACGGGGATCTTTTATTGATATATTCTGTCAGAGTTCATTTTTGTGTTATGTTTTTTTCCCTTTAAGATCATATTTCGGTGTAGATTTCTATTTTTCAGATAGAGCGAGTGTAATGAATATTTCTATTTTTGAATTATAGTGTAGTTATATGGTTGCTTTAAATTACCTTCGTTGAACTAAGGCTGATTTTATCGTTTTAATTCTCCCTTGCATGCTTGTATTAGACAAAATAGCTTTCATAAAGATTCAATAAATTACATCTATTTCCTTCACACTATAATTCTGCCGATAATAAATGGATGTTAAAATGGTTGGTTAATGGTTTTTGCTTGCAGTGGTATGGGGTATCATCATTATGTTCTATGACAATCTGACAATTTAATGCCGAGGAGATTTTTTAAAAGAAAAACAGGAACTATTTCTACACACTTGGTAACCCTCTTGTTGATGTTTGCTTTCTCTTCTTGGGGTGACACGCTAAAAATTAAAGCCAACGGCACAGATAATCCGAATACGATTGCCATGAAACTTGGTATGCTCTTTCTTTGAACAATTGCCCATAGATTGACGGACAACATGACTGTGGTGGCGTCATGCCCAGTTCCTGGTACATATAGTCCGCTCATACTTAAATCTTGTAACCCAGATATTTTAATCAAATTTAGAAATGAGCTAGTTGAGACATTATTTTTGTGTAAGAAAGGAGTTACCACAACCATCATAGATCGATACGCCTCAACATTACAATCATCAGCAGATTCCGGTTATCATCTGCATCATCATCATCATCATCATCATCGTCAGTTCATGACCATTTTCACCAGAGAGCATCTTTTAATTTAAAATATTATTTATATTTACAGAAATGTCGACAGTTCCACAGTGGGCACCGAAAATACTGATGACACCGGAGAAAGATGGCCTATTTGTGGAATTTGCACCACCTTTTAAAAGCGCAGATTATTATAGAATTTGCGTCATGGATCCGAAAAAGTGGTGTGTGGGTGGCAATCAACGACTTAATTACGTAAATGTTTATTTTCAGTATTTTTTTAATTATGACACTAAAGTAACAACGTAAGAGAAATTGATCGAACAAATCTACCAAACAAGCTGCACGCGAAAGAGTTTCTACGAGTCCAAATAGATAATTTGTATACATTCCGAAAGCAATCATTGGGTCGATCTCTATGTTTTTCAGTGTTGGGTTTGAAGTGGTCTGATAATTGGTATGCTGAAAGGCAAGTTTACCATATGGATCCTTGATCGTTTTTGGGTGTATATTAATTGAAACATTGCTTCCATAATTGAATTGGAGACGGGGGCGTATATTATCAATTTGAGCTAAACCAGTCTAGTATGTTTGGTTGATTACCCAGCGTGTAACATTCTATTATTTTCTAGACCTAGGGGTTAGAATTAGGCATATTTTTTTTTACAAGGATTTAATAACCCGATTTAACAATTATTTACTTTGATGATCGAGCTATTTTTTTTCTTTCAGACGGCTAACAAGTTATTTGTTCCCAGTGTACCCAGAAACCATACCTACGATGTTATGGTATGTAATCATTAACACGGTTAAAGCTCGAAATAGTGCGTGGCTCAGTGAATAAGGTGCTGGAGGGTTTGATTTCGTTGTGTGCTGGCTCCCAAACCAGGGTTTGATTCCGGTATTTTAGGTCATTTTGGGACTAACATATGATTCAATTTTATTTCAATAATTCGCTTGCGCGAAGGGGTCTTTGGCAGTGGGCCGAAACCTGAGGACCCGGGGAAAATCCACTAGGTTGGACAGACGACCAACCATTCAGCCATCTACCCTGCCCACCCCACCCCACTGCTTGAAGTAAAGACAAGTAAAACCAAATTTTGAAGTATAAAAAACGAAACGAAATCTGTGTTTTAATCAGATTAGTGAAGGGCGGATGCATGTCGTACGTTTTGTCGTACGGATCGGAGGGAAAACCAGGGTCATGTGTACACGATGGTGTGCACATTAAAGAATCCTTGGCAGATAGTATTCGACGAAAAGTGTAGACGGAAACATTGCTGTCTTTGTCCCATAGTGCATATACTGCGTGGTGTATGCCCCCCCCCCCTCAATGGCCGTTTGGTGCAACAAAGTAGGATGTTAAAACACCATTTTATTTCTAAATCATGCTTACTTATCATGTTTCTTTAATCTTGGTAACATTTTCAAATTCTGGCTAAAATTTTGTTGGGTAAATGTTAAGATATTATTTACAGGTACGACCATTCAAAGCTAGCGGCGATTACCTAGATGATTGGATTTCTCAACGCTATTTCTATCCACCAGGTAAAATTATTTTTTATTCGTGAATTTTGCATGTAATTATACGTATTCGAGTATACTTATGTACCATTCATATACTCGTACGTATAATTTGAATTGAATATCTGAAATCGGGGGCAATTCCTTTTAAGTAACCCCATATTTAGGTCTACATGTTGATGGATCTGTAATATCAAGTACTCCAACAAAGTCCCCCGTATCACTATATTCCACATAGTCAGTGACAGATTAAGATCAGTAGAGGCCCTATAAGCAATTAGAAGATTTTGGTGCCCCCATAGAGTATACAATTCAGAATGTAAACAATAATAAACCATAAACAATCCGTCAAGCACATGGTTAGAGGTTTTTTTTCTGAGGTTTTATGCACGTCATTATATATTGAGACCAATGAAAAACTAATTAAAATTTCTTAATTTTTAAGTTAAATAATTTTGAATTCATCATCTAATCAAGCAGAAATTCTGTTGCCCCCCCCCCCTTCCAATGCTGCCTTAAGCCCGTGCTTATTTTGCTTAATGGTTAATCCAGTCTATCAATTAAAAGTTGTGTAAACTGCTCACAGATATTACCGCTGGTAACATTGGGTACCTTAAAGGTGCATAATAACAATTTGAATTCAGTCGTTGATCTGACGGAACTCTCCCGCCCCAGCATGGCACGCATACCCATAGAAAATGAATTGTGGTGTGTTAATCTCAATGTAATAAGGCGTTAATCAATCTCGTTGTGATAAGAACATTCATAGATTGTTTCTTTCTTTGTTTTAAAGATGTTACAGGTAGTACCGAGGGGCCAATATCAGAAGCTTCGTCAGTAGAGCAACTACCTATAGCGGATAATACGCAGACAATAGTTATTGCAGTTGGCCTCTGTATTCTAGCACTTATTGTTGTTACTCTATTATACATAGGTAAGTTATTCTAATCTACTTGATATTTCTTTCAAAATCGGGATTTCTGAAAGGGTAATGGGGCACACATCTTCTCATTGACTTCAATCAATATTATAGGAAATGAAATGAAATGAAATGGGGTTTAATGTCCTACTGTTCTGCTCCGAACTGGGCTAATGAAGACGGGCATGCGCCATACAGTGTGCTATGGGGGAAATTTTGCCCGGACATCGGCACTACGGCCTACTCTTATATTGAATTCCAACTGTCAAGGGATCTTTTAAAGGGACGCCAATGTGTACACGGGAACTCGGTTTTTCGTACCATCTGAACGATTAGACAGCTGTCCTTGTCAGGCAGGTCCTCCGTCCAACATCACTGACAAGGGGCAACCACGCAGGAAAATCTGGCCAATGCAATGTGCAATGATCGAACACCTCCAGGCTAGCGAGCCAGCGTCTTACCCACTTAGCCACCGTGACCCCCCCCCCCCCCCAAGATATTATAGGTGCGATTTCCCAAAACCGTAGTAACTGGATTGATGACATCATTTATTTTATTAGGCATTTCCGGTAAAACAGCCCAAAATGAGCTTGAGCGTGGACGACCTAGGGATGGGGTGTGGGGGGGGGGGGAGAGGGTAGTGTTTCTTGAGATTTGCCCTAAAGTTTTTCTCCCATTCATCTACAGAAGGTACTAGAAACATATGTTTTATTTGTTGCAATCCAATTGTTTTTTATTTTTAGTGTTAAGAAAGGAATGGGTCTTTAAAAGGCCGTGTATTGAGTTTCAAGAAGAATGTGTGGCGTTACGATCTGAGGAAGGTGAATGATGTTTCAATATTAAAGTATTTACCCTGGTAAATCAAGACTTGGTAAATAAAACGCTAGATGGCACCATTTTGTTACCAACTACAGTGAATACCCATTTCAAATTTGATGGAAGCATTGGGGTATTGAGAGGGTGAACCTTAGCAATATTCAATGTTCTGCCACTTTCCATTCTGAAGTAATCTCCCTTTTGCCAAAAACCTTGTGTACGCGGTAGATGCTTTAGTTTTTAACAGACTTCTTTCATATTTTCTGAGAAGTATTGGCCTCATGAGAGGGTGCACCCTATAAATATTCAGTATTCTGCGAGTTTTCATCCCAGAATTATCCCAACTTTGCCAAATTTGATGGGAAGCATTTGGGCCATGAAAGGATGAACTCTATTGATATTAATCGTTCTGCGACTTTGTCATCAAATTGGGTCAACATTCAAGTTTTCTTGCGGAGAAGCTGCAGTTGAAACAAAGCTGCTGAGTGATTGTATTTACAGGCTTTGTGTGGCAATCTCCATCAGTGAAGTTCAATATTATTACAGTATTCTTTTGTTTGTTTCAGTTGAGATTACTCCAATATACATCCCAGAGCAGCCTTTTATTTGTGCCGTGAAACACCATTTAGATCTTCTTGAAAAAATTGATGGAATAACCATAAAAGAGACGCCTTTACCTTCTACTACGGGAGAAAATAACCATCAAAATATTCATGCCTGGATCGATTATCAAATACGTTCTTTTAATGCTATAAAAAACAAACAAATACTAATATACGTTTCTTCCAGACTCTTAAACAGTTTAGACCCCTCAATCAGCAGAAACGAAGGATGCGACACAATTTGTAATGAGTTCATTAATCGTTTAGCGGAGAAGCTCCGGGACGGTGGGAAAAGGCCTTTTATTGTGTGCTTTGGGGATGTGACGCCTTATACTACTGCATTGACACAGTCCTTGGCAATGTCACGATTTAATGATCTTCGGTCTGTGGTTCAGTGTGATAACCAAAGATTGAATATTGATGGCACATATTCATTAATACGTGACTTAACTAACGAATCATGTGATCATTTATTCACTACGGAGGAATTGGGCGAGTTTCGCAGAAAAGTGAGCATTCTCTTAAATCAGACAACAAACAGCGAAAATGTCCCTTATGCAGACCCAGATCAGACAATAATTAACTGTAACGGTTATTCACCTATAAATCACGTGGCAGTGAACTGTAACGGAAGAGTGCCTCAAAATGAAAGTACTCAATATTGTGACGGGCGCCTTTTTTCCAACTGTAACGGCGCGACAAGTGGTTACAGAACAAACGACACTACATCACCTGACAGCGTATTGCTTTCCATGGAGGAAAGCAATGGCGTGGAGGAAACATTCATAGCGCCATCCAGTATCAATGACAGTTGTGGAAACATTACAGAAGCATTTGAAAATATCAATCAAAGATCGTGTTGGCTTTCAGAACAATGTTAAATGATGATTTCACTCTGATCAAATTATCGATGTATACATCTGTCATACTTTGTATGTTCAACTGAATCGTGTTTCTAAATATTGTGACTCATATCGTGGACAGAATTTGATTTATCAATTCAAATATTTAGTATTGTGTTTTGTGTCAGCTTTAGTATGAGGATGTTCAACTCCATTCCATTTCACTTTGTTTCATTTTATAGTTTGTAGCCATGGACATTAAATGGTTCTATCAGGGATATCGACCAATCGTCCAAATAACTAAATTCGAAAATAAATATTAAAATATAGCATGATGTCATTTTAATTGATTCGACTGAATCTTAAAAATATAAACCTGATAGCCGTTTTCCATGCTTTTATTGTGCCTGGTGACGTTTTTTTTTTTATCTCCCTGTCAACATTTTAATTGAAGTTTGTCAATAGAAGTTGAGTTTGGCTATTTGAGGGTTTATTAAGAAAGCAAAATCAAAATACTAACAGTGGAAAATCTCTATCAAATACGTATAGGTGGCGCTGGCTTGCTTATATGGTTTTCATTGTATGCAGAATGTGTCAAAAGTTTCAATTGGTCTTGTGTAAATACTGAACAGAAGTGAGCCATTTTTTGGACTGATATTCCTTTTAGAAATTCAACATTACTGTATTTAGCAAATGATTCAAAATCTCTCAAATGACGATAAGTGGATTTAACACTTTAACTTTAAAAAGTTTGCCAATATTAATAATTAAAGATACATTATGGGAGATTAGATAAAGAGCTGACAGTTCTCGCTGTAATAGTTAAAAATTAGATAATGTGAAGGGAATTTGCTGAAAGTTTCAGTCAAATTGATCCACTGTGAACCGAGAATTTAGCGATTGAATTTTCGGCCTAGCCTCGATCATCATTACTAAAGTCGGTACAATAAAAACATAGTCTCGATTATCCATTTCATATTAAATCATGAATGAAAGTTGAGCAGCAAATCGGATCCTAATCCAGTAGCGATGACGTCGAGAGCTGATTATGATCTGAATAAGTTAATTAATCTCTAATTAATAATTAGATAACATTTGAAGCCTAAAGAAAGACCAAAAAAATAGGCAGATTTAGCTCTTGCATAATGTATGTTTAAGAATTAGAATAATTGATATTCAGTAATTATTCCTTTCTTTTCTTTCTTCTGACTTCGATATTAAAATATTGCAAGCTGTACTAAGATCGATGCATACGGTCATATGAATTTGGCTAGAAAATAACTATGATGTACCGTTCTTCCATTAAAGGGGCATTATGTAAGATTAGATAAAGAGCTGATAGTTCTCGCTATAACAGATAAACCATAGATAATCAAAATTATCATTGGATAATCTCTTATTTATTTGAAATACCTCCCAGTTCCTACTGTGTGAGATCTATTTCTTAAGGTCACCTCCAGATTTGGTCAAAGGTCACGAGATGCAAACACTAATATAACCCACAATCTCATCATCAATCACGTGCCCTAAACTTATTTACATCTCAACGGCCTTGACGAAATCTGGAGATGGCCTTAAAAAATAGATCGAGCCATCCTACTGTCATGAAGGTTAATAAATCGAATTTTGAACTATGAAAAACGAAACGAAACAATATAAGTGTTAGCTTAGTCGCTATTGACTGTATGTGTAAAGGTTAAGATATGGGAATTGAAGGTAGGAAGGTGGACGGAAAGTGAATAGACGTGAGATCAATGGAGTGTAATCATAACTGATGGATAGGATTAATCTATAATTGTTGTAGCAATAGGTTTTGTGTTTTTATGACAAGGAGGAACAAAAGCTAATATATTAAAGACTTCTTTGGAATATTGACAAAGATGTATATTTGAATCATCCTAATAGTCGTTATACTTGAATCTAACTTAAAATCCCCCAACCTGAAAACTGAATTGTTCAGAAAAGTTTGGTACCAATGACCTTATATGCGTATTAAAAAGAATGTAGTAACGATATATCCCTAAAAGTTTGATGCCCCCGCCTCTGTATTCGACCCTGGCACAAATATTTGTTTTATAAAAGATCTCATGTAAATAATGTTCGTTTTATATAGTGCTGTAATATGACATATAATATACATTAGATATCATATCATCATTACATATTACAGTGTTCTATCAGCATTTTCTGTACATACTCCAGCATGGTGGGAAAGTAAACCCAAAGAAAAATCCATGCTGTTGATTCATTAAGTTACCGTCCTGGATTTCCGGCTTTGCTCAACACTAGTGCTCACGGGTAATTATTTCTCGGCTGTACGACTTCTTTTCACCTCTTACTGTTTCTCTCCGATCATTTTGTGGCTTGAGCTTACTTTGCCAATGAACATAATTGGCTGAATAATGACGGATGTGGCTGGTATATCCAATATACATGAATTATAATAAGATATTGAAATTCTGACATTCCATCAATTTAGATAACGTACTCGCATTTCCTTTAATTAGATAAAAAAAAAAAACCTCCTTGTCGAGTATACAGCCTGGAAAAAAATAAATGGAATTTTATTTGACTTGATATTCCATGTTACCAATTATATGTGTTGAGTTTGATTGTCTAAAAAGACCCACGAACTTTTCTCATTATACTGGTGCTAAAATTATCAACTATAAAGACATCCACCTTTCGGCTGCAGGGTGCGTCTATATTTAACTCACGGCTAGCAAATTATCGGTTTAGTACATGAGAAATTGTCAACGTGTGACCTCAGAATATGATCTTTAATCATTGGTAGGATATAATTCCTTCCGTATTATCCGGAATTGTTTGATTTTACAGATCAGTTATTTATAGACCTAATTATAGAGAAGGGCACCATGAATATTGTGAATCATAATTATCGTAAATATTCAACATATGTGTAAATGATGTCTTTGATATTTTGAGATCATGAATGCAGTTTTTGTTTTATAAATATCTAAATTCGTTCACAAATACATTCACTATAGTAATCATTTTTAACATTTGGCCTCTCCCACCTAGCTCATCAGCCTTGTACGTGTACACGTGTTTCTATGATGTAAATCTATATTTGTAAATAAATAATGTGCTCTGTGATCGAGCTGTACATAATTATATTAATCGATTGTTCATGAAGTTATTTAATATTGTTTGTATTGTGCCTTTATGTAAAGATCTAACATGATAATGTACTGTTATAAATAAGATTGTTTACTGTAATACTAATTATTAATTGTAATACAGATGATTTACTGTAATAGTTTTAAGATAATTTTTTGATGTCATACTGATATTGTTTGCTGATATTAAATAAGGAAAATTTATGGAAATACTGGTGATAATTTACTGTAATACCAGAGTTATTTATTTAGCATAATACTGTTATATCGATGATTTACAGTAATTCTTTGTTATCAAACGGACTATTATTTATCACAGATCATCGTTTACTGTAATACTGATGATTTACAGTAATACTGATTACTTACTGTAATACTGATGATCTTACTGTACTACTGGTGACCTTACTGTAATACTGATGATTTACTGTAATATTGATGATCTTACTGCAATACAGGTGATCTTACTGTAATACGGGTGTTCTTACTGTAATACTGGTGATCTTACTGTAATATTGTTGACGTTACTGTAATACTGATGATCTTACTGTAATACTGTTGTTCTTACTATCATGCTTGCATTTACTATAATACTTACAAATATATGGAGTGAATGATTTTATTTTAATACAGCAGTACTACAAAGTTTGAACAAACTAAGGGTGGCCATCCATCGGGTGCTCCTAAAATCTAAGATTGTATGGAAGTATGTGACATTTGAAAGACTAGACTTTACATCTAGTGCTTTATGCTGCCTTAGTTTGAATGCAGTTTAATTAACTGTATTGTTCCATTACATTGATCTTGTGGTTGAAGTACAATGTAGTTGAACATTGGCGGGGAGAGGTGTCCATATTAGTAGTCGGGTTGACTCTGAGACTGCCATAGAAAGTTACCCAAAAATATTTATGATTAGAAAGAGATCTTGAAAATATAGCAGCTGGTTTTGTAATGGATTTGATTGTTGTTGAATGGGACTAATTAATATTGAGCAAATTTATGGTTGAAATTGGAAAATAATTGAAATTGAGCAAATAATTGAGATTGATCAAATTATTGAAATTTAGTTTAAAAGCGAATAACTGAGATTGGGCAAATAATTGAAAGTAAGCAAATGATTGAGATTGGACAAATAATTGCAACTGATGTCGAAATATTATGACATGAGAAGTTTAAGAATAATGTATGAAGTTGTATATGTTATATTGTAAAGTGCCATGTTATGTTCTTGCCGCAAAGTAGGTTATAATAAAAACACAATATTATAACTAACTGTGTATTGTTATTCATAATAAACTATGTTCACCTTAGTTACCTCTATGTGTTCTGTTTTACAGGAAAAATAATTTTCCTTGTAAATATTTATCTTCCTTAAAATCTAACAAAAGAAAGAGAAAAAAAAACAATCCCAAAACAAATACAAAATATGAAATGGGTTAGAGAACAATACCATTTGTCATACACAATGGTCGTTTCAACAGATTATGACTTATTAATGTACGCGTATAAATTAGCGAAGGCCCTTATACTTTTCCGTCTCGACTTTATTATATCCTTATTGACAAATACAAAAGGGGGATAAAGATCGATACCAATTGTCACATGTTAAAAGGACTATAAGAGGTTAGTTCCTTGGCTGTAATAAGAGCCTATATTCCTGAAACACTAGCAATAACGCGGTGTATCTTTTCAAGGACGATGACATCCGATGATCTTAAAAAGTCCGCGCATTGTCGCCAGGGACAGTTTCAGACAAGAGACGTAACTCGTATAATTTTGTAGGGATCAGACCATGGTTATTCTCATTTGTTCTTTGGAGCACATCATAGGTTTATGTGGTGGCACCTCTATTTCTTGGCGTAATTTCTGCCCAAGTGCTTGGGAGACCAGGTGTGGACTGCGAAGGATTCTGCGGGTATGGTAATATTCTCGGGTTGATTGGCGGCCCTTTACATCTGATAAATTAAACCATGTAGCTACAGATGGTCCATATTCCTAGTAAAGTTAAGCCATGTACCGTACAGGCGCAGCCAATTCTTAAAGTCCCTCATGTGCACCCAATTAAAGGATACTGACCTTGGAAATTTGACTTGTTATTGTTTTATGCAACAAGTAAACAAGGGTCAGTCTCTTATCAAAACCTGTGTAACACTAGCAGTGCAAGGGGGCCCCGGGCTGTCTCCTAACGAATGCACCCCTTGATCAGTTTAAAAAGTGGTGTGCCCTCCCAATCATGTAAACTCAAATGGAAAACATTAATAAAAGCCACTAGAATATATCTTTCTGTATATTGTTGTTTATTTAGATAATAGTAAACTAATATAGAATAGATAGTTTTAAAATCAGTAAATCCTACAATAAATAATCGTTACATATACAAATATAGACTATATACAATAAAATATATCACTTTCTTACTTACATATTTAATCCTTAACATTCAGAAATAAAATAATAGTAAAAACATTTTCTTGTTTAAAAAGAAAATAACAATGAACATTACTTTTAAAAGACTTGCTTCAAGAATATTCCAGTTAGTGTCTTTGTATCTCTTTCATTCCTTAAAAAAACCCTCAGGAATCAAATCAAATTTAAAAAAGCAATTGTTTATACTTCAATTAACTAAATTGTTCAGTTTTCTCAGATAAGATCAGGATTCCCATCATTATTGATATTTAAAACGCAGTTATAATCAACATTTTCAGGAATATATTTTCTAGATAGTTTTAAACTTTCTGTGGCATTCTTGACACAGCTGTTCCTGCTACTGATGGCCCTCTCGATCCCATATCACGCTGCCCTGCCCTCTGTCGTATTATTTCAGCCATTCCTGGTAATCTTGAGAAATAATTCCTGGCTAAAGTCTGTTTCTGTTTGATCTTGTGTATAAAAACTTGACCATAACCCTAAAAAGCAAAAGAATTAAGTTATATTAAATCTTCTTAATCTTCAAATGAACAGGTACATTTCATAAAATTTAAATTAATCTCATTAGAGTTAATTTGTCTTTATATAATTAATGAAAATTGTTTTTGGTCTAAAATTATATAACGTTATATAATGTTTTGTTATAATCTTATGTAGATTAGATTGATGCAGCCATTTAAGAGTTTAACGATAAAATAGAATTAGTCTTGACTGTCAAGTATCATTACTACGATAATAAACAATCTACCCTAAATTTTGTCAAAACTTTAAACACTCATAACTTTGCAAAGATTACAGTAATTTGACTCAAATTTTCAATATTCATTTTTCATGATTTATCTTTGAAGTATTATAGCAAGAACGGCCAGCTCTAATTCTTAACCGGTTTCCTCCCACTGCTAAAGACCCCTACGCGCAAGCGAATTATTGAAATAAAATTAAACCATATGTTAGTCCCGAAATGACCTAGTTTGTGTCGAGTGGATGTTAAACCCCATTTCTCTCTCTCTCTCTAATTCTTAAATAATGTATCTTTAATCTTAAAATAAACAGGTAAATTTCAGATAATATAAATCTATAAAATAATAATCTTTACAAGCCTATTTAACTTCAAATAAATGATTTTTTTTTTTATTGGCCTAACGTTTAATATTGGCTGTCTGTCTCACTGGATAAGTTAACTCATGAAATGAACTGTTATCATGAGCTAAATAACTGGGTATTATTATATAATACATCAGACTCAGTTTTACATTAACTAGACTAATTACAGGTTAATAAATCTTAGTTTTATGTAAGATAAGAACAGGGCTAGACTGATGAATCTTTAATATACAAAGAAAAGAACTAGACATGAAAATCTATCCCACACATTCATCAGATCGTGTCAATTAAAAGAGCTAAATCGCTAATAATTGGAACCTAGAAATTGGGTCGCAACAAATATAATAACGTAATATGAATGTATATAAACTGATTTACATTTAATTGCTTCCGTTTTTACTCAAATTTTAAGTCAGTTATGTTCCGCAAAATACGAGAAAAGTCTCAATCAAATGATAATCTCTAGTTGTTCCAGTCTACAACGGTAGTATTTAATTGCGCATTCTCTTCTGATAAGAATATGGTGTCACTGTTTATAACTTGTGGAATATGTCTACCTTTGTTCTTCAAGTCTCTTGTTACAAATGGTGCTGAAACGGATTCTGGTACAAGATTTGTGCACCAATGGTAAAAAGAAAAATGTTTATTTTGTTTTAAATATTGGATATCAAAAGCCCATATATTCCTGGTAAATTGACATTATTAGTGTCGAAGACTGTGAATGATATTGAGTTAAAGACTTAGCTACTTTAATACAAAAACAAAGAAGAAAAATTTGTAACTTTACCTCTTCTAATGCTGACAATTTATCGTGAGCCGAGGCTTCATCTTTTGTTAATAAAATACAGTTCCAGGGAGACCACTCTTCATGTTTGTTCCATCTGATCATCACCAAATCATACAAGTCTTCCCAGGCACTCAGTACACTCTGACCATTCCAGATATTTTCAACCAAATATCTCAGGTCTGTTTCCTGTAAAAAAAAAAAAAAAATTATAAGACCGGATAGTTGAACTGCAATTTTAGATGAAGCAATCCAAGTGCCAGACAAAACAGAAACAAATACATTGTAGGTCAAGAAAAAGAAAATGTCAGTCACCTGAATTAAATAGGTTTTTCTATAGAAACACAACATACATGTGTCATTGATGTATAATTTAATCATTTTGATTTGATATTTTCCAAGAAAGTCAGACTCTTTCTTTCTTTTATCAAATTCTAACATCATTGGTTTAATTTGATCAGTTTCTGAAAATACTGTTTGCAACAATTTATAGTATAGGGTAAAAGAACTCTGTGCAAATTGTGTCCGTGAGTTTGTCGGGGGGGGGGGGGGGGGCACCTATCCAACCTCTTGGGGGTTTCTCCGGGTGCTTCAGTTTCCTCCCACAGCTAAAGACCCCTATTAAAAAAAAATTGAACCATGTTAGTCCCAAATTGACTAATGCCCAATGTGTATGCAGGACTTTGGTTTTTTGTCCCATCTGACTGATTATACATTTTCGCTTGTAAGGTACTCCGTCCTACACCACTGACAAGGGGGAACCACGTCAGAAAATCCCAATGAACTTTCTCGGCCAAAGCAGGGATCGAACACGGACATCCTGGTTAGTGAGCCAACATCTTACTCACTGAGCTACTGGGGACATACAGCAGCATTAATTTCTTGCCACTGAAGAAACTGACTGAATGGGAAACAGTATCAGTATAATCTTGTTAACATAAATTTCTTTTATGTTTTAGCTACAAGAGACATAAAGTCTTTTAAATGATCTTTTTAAAATTTAATTCATTAAAAAATATGACATCAAACAAAGACAAGTTTTGGTTTTCTTTTTCTTAAGTAATATTTTTCTAAAAACTAATTAAAAACAGTAATAGATATTTTCTATAAAACAAAATTCATTTGAATAAACTAAGAGGATGCACATGAAAGAAAGAAAGAAATGGGGTTTAACGTCCACTCGACACAAACTACGTCATTTTGGGACTAACATATGGTTTTATTTTATTTCAATAATTGGCTTGCGCATAGGGGTCTTTAGCGACCCTACACCTTGTCACATAAAACCGGGGATTCGAAACCACGCTAGTTGACTCAATGACAGGCCTTATGATACAGTGCGCACGCCCTAACCATTCGGCCATCCAACCCCCCTGATGCACATGAGGATAAGGTTAACTTAAATTTTCATTATATTTATCTATAAATAGTGTTCTCAACACATGTGCAGCTCAGTGGTTCTGATGGGGCGATAAGTTCTTCATCTGTGAACATACTCTCAAAGCATTTATCTATAAATAGTGTTCTCAACAAATTTTTCCAATAAACAGCAGTGGTATATAGCTTGGGTGAGAGCCAGACAAGTACTCCTGAGCACATTTTCCGAAACTAATAGCATTTTTGTTTGAACTCTTTAGTTGTTCACTTGTGGTATTAAATGTCAAATCTGATTTTTTTTAAAATTGTTTTTTCAATCGTATGATCTTGGAAGAACTTCCTCGACTCACTTTAAATTATTCTGTATGCGTCATGGCATCGTTTTAAGAGAGAAAGAGAAATGGGAATTTACGGCCACAAACTGTGTCATTTTGCGAATAAAACTAACTCATTCATTAGCAGGGGTCTTTAGCAGTGGGAGGAAAGCTGAGAAACCCCAAGTGGTTGCCTAGGCAACATGACTCCTTGAATTCATTTGTTTCTCACTGGCTCCTGAAAAAATTTCCATTTGCTTCATACTGTTCCTTTTTTTTTTACCCCAATCAGTGGACAGGAAACCATTTATTTTCAAAGGATGGCCTTATTAAAACTGTTCTTAATAAAATATTTAACATACCTGAAGTAAGAAAGCGATTTCTGAGCCATCATTATAAGTCTCTTCTGCTCGACGTAATGATTTGAGCATATATCTATAATGGCTGAAATCTTGACGAACTCTAGCATCGTTATCAATCTTGTTGCATCGACGACATTTACCAACATTTGTCGAGTTTGATGATAAGGGGAATTCTGTTGAAGGTAGATAATTGTTACAACTAGGACAGAAATAAATATTTTTACGGAGGGTAGAAGGATCTTGTGGAACCTGAAACAGATAAAAAATTGTTTTTCTTACATAGGTTGCATTTATGTATAATTTTACTCAGCAGTGATAGGAAATGAAAAGAAATGAAATGGAGTTTAACATCCTACTGTTCTGCTCCTAACCTGGGCTAATGAAGACGGGCATACGCCATACAGTGTGCTATGAGGGAAATTTTGCCCGGACAGCGGCACTACGGCCTACTCTTATATCGAATTCCAACTGCCAAGGGATCTTTTACGTGCACGCCAATGTGTACACGGGACCTCGGTTTTTCATCCCATCCGAACGACTAGACAGCTTTCCTTGTCAGCCCCTCCGTCCTGCATCACTGACAAGGGAGAACCACGCCGGAAAATCTGGATGAACTTTCTCGGCCAATGCAGGGATCGAACACCCGACCTCCAGGCTAGCGAGCTAGCGTCTTACCCACTTAGCCATGTGATCCCCAGCAGTGTTAGGTGTCAAATATAGGACAGGACATGCTTACTCTGTCCAGACCACCTGATATCACTTTTCATTCGATGAATTTACATAAGTACTATCTTGAGAGAGAGAAAGAGAGAGAGAGAGAGAGAGAGAGAGAGAGGCTAGCACATTGGTTTAAAAACATGAACATTTAGTTTGTACATTTCAATTCACATTTCAGTCATTCACATTCACAAGCTGTAACAAATCCCATGTGGTTTACCTCAAATTAGTAATTACAGTATAGTTACTGGCAAGACAGCCTGCAGATAACTTAATTTAACTCACCAGGGTTATATGAAGCAATTTAATTAGCTTTGACCCGAGATGATATTAATGAAATGGGGTTGAATGTCCTGTTGGTCTGCTTACGCCATACAGTGTACTATGAATAAAATTTTGCTCAGAAATCGGCACTACAGCCTACTTTCCTTTCAAATTCCAACTGTCAAGGGTTCTTTTATGTGCATGTCAATGTTACACAGGACCTCAGTTGTTTCGTCCCATCCAAAACAACTATACATTATCCTTTGCCAGGTCCTTCATCTTGCACCACTGACAAGGGGGAATCACTCTGAAAAATCCTGATGGGTTCCCTCAGCCAACAATGGGATCAAACACGGGACCTCCAGGTTTGCGAGTCAATGTCTTACTCACTGAGCCTTTACAGCTCCCTGACACAAGATGAGATTATTTCATTGTAGTAGTGTGTGAGTTAGTTGTATTTTACCTCCGCTTCCACCGAGGTGATATCGCAGACAAAAATTGTAGTAGTAACAATACAAACCTTAAGTAATTTCGAGGCCTCGGGATTAAACGTAGGTGTTTTAATATATTGTAGGAAGAGTGTAGAAATACGTTTACGTAATCCGTCTAAATTATCTTCTTTTACACCTCTCATTAATAGATCAGCCTCTCGATCAATTAACTCTATAATCTCTTGTGTTAATTTACAATCATGTTCCTGTAAATATAATAACATTTATTATTATCTACTACAATATTACAAACAGAGAGATAGAGAGATTAACTCCACTCGACACAAAGTAGTTCATGTAGGGACTAACATTCAGTTAAATTTTATTTCAATAATCCGTTTGCGTCTAGAGGGGTTTAGCTGTGGAGGATCCACAGGGAATCGAAACCACACCACTTGACTCAATAACAGACTTTGTGTATTACAAAAAGACATATAAGCAATTAGAACTGACCGAGATGTCAGTAAATTTAAATCAAATCTATTTCAAACAATTACTCAGTCAATGACATTGCAAAATAAAATTCAATATAAACTAATGTAAACATCAAATGGCTATATGACTCATTTTGGAACTGATTTTTGGACCAATTTGGGTTTGTTTTTATTTTAAGAGTACTTTTCATTGTGTATTATCTAGATTTATTAATGTGATCATGCATACACAACATCACTCATATCAGGGCCCTTATTCACGAAAACTCAAACTAAGATACAATCGAAATTTGAAAAATTCCTGCAATTTGATTGGCTGACCAGTAAAATCAATTTGCATATATCCAATGAAGTTGCAGTATTTCTTAAAATTTCGGTTGTAACTTAGTTTAAGTTTTCGTGAATAAGGGCCCAGCATGTCTTGTGTATGTTAATTCATCGTTTCGAGTTTGTTCAATCAAATATTGACAGTGTTTCAACCTCTGAGTTGTGTATTTTGATGGGAACCACGGTGATTCAGTAGGATGTTCGCTCGCTAACCTAGCAGTCCCATGTTTGATTCCGGTGTTGGCCGTGGTGTAGGAAGGAGGGCCTGGCAAGGGACAATGCGTAGTCGTCTGGATGGGACAAAAAAAACAAGGTCCCATGTACACATTGGCCGCATAAAAAAACTCTTGACAGAGGGAATTCAAAATATTGGTAGACATTAGCACAGCTGTCCATGCAAAATTTCCCTCATACCACACCGCTTGGAGCATGCTCATCCAGACAAAATTTCCCTCATAGCACATTGTATGGCACATGCATGTCTTCATTAGCTTAGTTGGTGCAAAAAAGTAGGACGTCTAACCCCATTTCATTTCATTTCTGTGAATTTTGATAATATAATGTACATTTATGTGTTTATTCAATCAAAATGGAGACTGGTTTTCTCTTTACCTTGACAGTGTGTTTTAATGTGAGAAGAACATCCAGTCTTTCATCTTGAGTTAAATATTTCATATTTATACTGTTATAGATATCTTGTAATTCTTTAGCTCGGATCGTATAGGGCGTATCCATTTCTAAATACTTGCCATCTTTAGACTTCCATTTCTTTGGAGATGCCGTCTGGAAAATAAAAAAATTAATAATACATCTATATTTGCAATAGATCTCCAAGAGTGAATTCTCTGATATAAAAAAAAAAAAAAAAATGAAATTTAAAAATTAACCAGTCTATAAAAGACATTTTTTAAAAAGACATTGCTATTATTGTCTTGGCATAATAGCCCTTTTCAGCCTGCTTAGACAGTCAAGGAAATGCTTTTGAAAAATTTTCAGAGTATTTTCTGTGTCACATGTATTGTAGGTTAACCTGGAGTCGACCAATCACAATCTGAATGCACCGTATAAAGAAATGTCTAAGATGAAGTGAAGTAAACAATCAAGAAATAAAACAGAATTAAAGGGGAATTAAACATACATTATGCAAGAGCTAAATCTGTCTATTGCAGGTCTTTCTTTAGGCCTGAAATGTTATCTAAATTATCAATTAGACATTAATTAACCTATCCAGACCATAATCAACTTAGTGGTTTGCATAACTTTCCTTCACGATTTAACGATTAAATGGATAATCGAGACTATGCTGTTTATCGTACTCTCTTTAGTAATGATGACCAAGGCTAGGCAGAAATTCAATCGCTTTGTTCTCGGTTCATAGTGGATCAATTTGAAAGAAATTTTCAGCAAATTGCCTTTACATTATCTAGTTTTTAACTATTATAGTGAGAACTGCCAACTCGTTATCGAATCTCCCATAATGTATCTATAAGAAAGATTAGATAAACAGCTGACAGTTCTTGCTATAATAGCTAAAAAAAATAGATAACGTAAGAGAATACACTGAAAATTTTATTCAAATTGTTTCACTCTGAACCTAGATATTAGCGATCCCATTTAAGGCTAGCCTTGATCGTCATTACTACCATTGTTATGATTTGAAACAGTCTCGATAATCCATTTTTACAGTTATTTCATCCACCACAAAACGAATTTAAATCCACTAAACATCACAGGCATGAGATGGCATCGAGAGTTGATTATGGTCTTGATAAGTTAATTAATGTCTAATCAATTATTTAAATAAGATTTAAGGCCTAAAGAAAGGCCTGCAACAGGCAGATTTAGGGCTCGCATAATGCATGTTTAAATGTTGATATAATTGAAACAATCATATTTCGTTCCGTTTTTTTTTATGGCTTAAAATTTCGTACAACACTAGGATCTAGAAGAGTTGCTATATAACATGCGTTCTGGATGGCGTGAGGTATTAGCCAATGAAACTATCTGTTCCGGCGACTTCTTGGTATGCCTTGCACGAAACGGTGGATAAACCACTAGAAACGTCAATGCTGATTGATTAATCAATGTCTGACGTCATAGGATCAAAAGCTGCTCGTACGATCCCTGACGCAACCTTTCAGTAAAACTGGTCAGATCTCCATGCAGTAGGCCATCGAAAGTATAAAAAAACGAAACAAAAAATAGATCTGTATTTTAATCAGATTGTAATTTTGTCTGTCAGTTTTGGGCCGATTTTCACGAAATTCGAACTCAGCCGTCCTTAGGGTGTAACGATGATATAATAATATATTTTTTTAAATCGGATAAAAATTATGACCTCTATAGGGTCCACAAGCTAAAAATGCGATTTTTCGTACAATCAGGGGCCATAATTCAGGAAGTTACGGTCCGATATGTGCGAATATCGAAAGGAACCAAGATCTTTGTGTTATAAACTTACATTTCAAGTTTCATTGAAATCGGATAAAAATTGTGACCTCTACAGTGTTCCCAGGCTAAAAACGTGATTTTTCGTACAATCAGGGGCCATAATCCATGAAGTTACAGTCCGATACATGCCAATATCGAAAGGAACCAAGATCTTAGGGTATAACCTATATTTCAAGTTTCATTGAAATCGGATAAAAATTGTGACCTGTAGACTGTTCACAAACAATTGTGGAAGGATGGACGTCCGGACAGGGGCGACGACAATATACATCCACATGAAAATGTGGGCGTATAAAAATATTTTAGAAAGTTCTACCTTGGCTAAGAAATCTTGAATTCTTTTAGTTTTATTACTTTTATCTGCCTCTAGTTTATGTCTATCAATGGCTGCTAACAACTGGGTTTCCTGATCTAATAACATACATAATGCTGCTTTCCTTTCGGCACCTGTCAATGTGTTGGATATCCTGTCTATTTCTTCCTGTCTCCATTCTACAAACAAATAAATAAATAAACTTGTTATGAATAAGCAGAAAAAAATTAGACATATCAAAATTAAACAGTTTCTTCGATCTGGCACAAAATGGGTATTTTTCTATTCTATTATGTGTGAGTTTCAGACAGATTGGTTGAACAAGCATAAGAATTAAATTTTCTGTTTCCATGGTAACCAATACAGCAATTTCCCCTAAAACTGCTAATTAGCCTTATTTTGGCTATTGGAATAAATCCTGAACATTTCATGTCGATAGCAGTATTATATATGAGTTATTGTTGAGCAGTGCCTTCACTTCTTAAAGTCTCTGATTATGATTTGAGGCATTTTGAATCACTTACAAACTAAAATGGTGTGAAGGTTAAATCTCTAAAAGGAATAATAAAATGGTTCAATTCTATTCCATATTTGCAAAGACAAGGCGAATTGAAAATTTGTGAACATTAATTGGCATCTTTTGCAGAAATGAAATGAAACGAGGTTTAACGTCCTACTGTTCTGCGCCAAATGGGCTAATGAAGACAGACATATGCCATACAGTTTGCTATGAGCAAAATTTTGTCCAAACAGCAGTGCTACGACCTACTCTGATATCGAATTCCAACTGCCAAGGGATCTTTTATGTGCACACCAATGTGTACACAGAATCTCAGTTTTTTGTCTCATCCAAACAACTATACATTGTCCCTTGCCAGCCCCTCCCGTCCTGCACCCCGAACAAAGGGGGAACCATGATATAAATGGGATATGGTCATAACAGGTCTGTACCACCTATAATTTTCACTATCCAATCTTTTGATCTGTGTAAGAGGTAGAAAAATATTTGAGCCATGTAAACTTCTCTAATAAATAAGAAGTGGCAATAGGTGTTCCATAACTTACTTTCTAATGCATGGAAGAGAAGATCAAAATCTTCTTTGGAATTAGGATTCATTCTCCTTTCAAATTCTTTCTTTATTCTGTCTTCTTTTTCTTTCTTTTTTCTCAACTCTTCCGCACGTTCCCACTCGACTCTTGCACGTTTCTCCTCTCTTAATTTATGTACATAACGTCTGGCTAACCATCTTCGATAATACTTCTGTATAATGACAATCTGAAATTATATTGAACAAACTAATAAAATTCAAAATCATTGTCTAAATGATTCAAACAAAGCAGTAACAACAGGCCATATGACAAAAATATTATGGTTTTCAGATATTCATGCATCACTTAAAGGAAATGAAATGAAATGAAATGGGGTTTAACGTCCTACTGTTCTGCTCCTAACCTGGGCTAATGAAGACGGGCATACGACACAGTGTGCTATGAGGGAAATTTTGCCCGGGCTGCGGCACTATCGCCTACTCTTATATCGAATTCCAACTGCCAAGGGATCTTTTACGTGCATTCCAATGTATACACGGAACCTTGGTTTTTCTTATCATCCGAAGGACTAGACAGCTGTCCTTGTCAGGCCCTCCGTCCTGCATCACTGACAAGGGGGAACCGCGCCGGAAAATCTGGATGAACTTTCTCGGCCAATGCAGGGATCGAACACCAGACCTCCAGGCTAGCGAGCCAGCTCCTTACCCACTTAGCCACATGATCCCCTATCTCTTAAAGGACAATATTGGTGTCAGTCATTATCACATATGAACTTGTTAAACACGTCCAAAATACAATTTTAATACAAAGATCATTGCTATGATAGGTGCATTATGAAGATTTCAAGAAAGGGAAGTGACGAACACAATAGGAAAACACGAGTTATCCTTCTATACTAACAGGAGTGACGAGTGATAACAGAAACACAGGCGAATTTCTACACACTAATTATTCCTTTGAAGACCAAAAGTTGTTACATAAGACTATGGGAGGATATCTGACAATTCAAAAAAATAATTGACTGTCACTAGATAAGAGAAAACAAGAAAACAAGAAAAATAGAAAAAAGTCCGTGCATTACCATGTTTTAATTGGAATTTATGGACAATTTCTATTTTTCTTGTTTTCCCATATCTAGTGACATTCAAATAAAAATAAAAAAACAATCTCATTAATTACCGCTTAATGTTTTCCCCATTACAGGAAAGAACTCACAATATAATTTGAATGAATTTAGAAATGTGGCATAGACTCATTTATCAAGTACACAACCCTCATAAATGTTTCTGACAATCATGAATGATACTGGATAATCATACATTCCTATAAAACATGTGATGAGATAAATGTATTGAATAGAAATGTGTTGCTTAGGCCAGCAGTGATCCTTTGACAAAATAAAAATACAAAGATATAAACCTCTCTCCCACATCAGAATTTTTGGTAAGGATTATCTGAGAACTAGAATTTTTTTGGGATGAGCCCTATACAGGCATTGTTAAATATAAATGTCCCACAATAGAATTATTCTAGTGATCTTTTTTAAAAAGTTCATGTTGTGAATGACGAGAACTATAGATTTTATTGAATGTATTTATGTCAATAATATCAGGACTAAGCTCAAATAAACCTGTGAATCAAGTGCCAACAATGCTCATTCCAGAAGAGTTACCCCTGCCCCCCCCCCCTCTCTTTAGTCTTCAACAAATGATATAATTTTATTGCCACTTCAGATTTCACAAACAATTTGTTTTTCACTGATGAAAAACCTTGTTGCATTAAAAAATGATTGATATTATTAATCTATAAGCTCAGATTTGGGAATAAATTAAACAAATAAATAGCAGCATCAAAACAAAAGTGGGAGTTATCTCTTTCGTCAAGATACAAAAAAAAAATCAGGTCAATCGGTCGTTAATTTCCTTATCAAAAACTATGTGAATAAAATGAATGTATGACCTTAATTAAAGCTAAATGAATAGCATACTGCCTCTATGAGAAATGTAACTAAATGCATAATAAAGATAGCTTAAACTGATAAGTGTTATCTTAAAGACAATTTCTGTCAAAAATAAACCAAAATATTTTACCTTGGACCATCTCATGGCATGAAATTCATCAGCTGATGTGTATTTTCCTGGTACCATCAGTTTATCCTCCATGTTGGAAACATAAACACCAATTTTTGTCATCTGTGTAGCCATATCATTGGCTGTTTGTTGAGGTTTGTTTATTTGATGAACTGTTTGGGTGTCACGACAGTACCTCTCTAAAACATTAGGTGGTCGAACTTTAGGCATAGTCTGAGCAGAAGCATTGAGATACTCTATGCCAGTAGATTTGTGTCTGTATCCACCCAGGAAAGGTTTTTTCTTTGTAGATCTTTCTATTTCTACAACAACATCAGTATAGCCTTTACCATCCTCTTTAAATAAACAAACAGTATTTCATTAAACATACATTATGCAAGAGCTAAATCTGCCTATTTCAGGACTTTCTTTGGTCATGAAATGTTATCTAAATTATTAATTAGACATTAATTAACTTGTCCAGACCACAATCAACTCTCGATGTCATTGCTAGCCTGCGATATTTATTGGATTAGGATCTGATTTGCTGCTCAACTTTCATTCACGATTTAATCATGAAATAGATAATCGAGACTATGTTTTTTATTGTACCGACTTTAGTAATGATGATCGAGGCTAGGTCGAAAATTCAATCGCTAAATTCTCGGTTCACAGTGGATGAATTTGACCAAAATTTTCAGCCAATTCCCTTTACATTATCTAGTTTTTAACTATTATAGTGAGAACTGCCAGCTCTTTAATCTCCCATAATGTATTTTTAAATCTTATATTGGTTATATCAACTTTTGGTATTAAATAAAACCTTTTTCAATTTTGATTTCTTATGATCATGCACTAGTAACATGTAATTAGGATTTCAGTTTTTTTTTAATCATACAATGACTAAACAGACGTCTTCGTTTTGTATTACAGGCATCCATTACTCCATATTGGACGGAGTTTGATGAATCCTGTAGTATCCCCGTCAGCCTACACTAGAAGAATATCAACCTGAGAGGCTGGGATATTCTAATCTTGAGACGTGTCCTTAATATCAATATTTATCCATGGTATTGGTATGCTCCCGTTTGCCCACTACACTTGATCTATTTTTAGCATTTTCCAAAATTCTATCCGGATTTTCGCCCTTATTTTGGTTAAATTTTTTTTTTACATTCTCACTCATGAAGGTTTGTCTTACAGGTATTGCTTTGTGGTTCTCCTGATTTAAATTCTGACTATTCTTAACACATGTCTTATCCAAATGACTCTTACCAGATTCAACTTTAACTGTTATAACATCAGGCATATGATATTCTTGTCGTGGTCTGTATGGTTTAATAGGCGTAGAGACGGGATCCGCAGACTGCATCTCTAACTGTACTGTACCATTAGGTCCCACACCTAAATTGGCTAATATTGTATCATCAGGCAAAACTTTACCTAAAAAAAATACCGCACAATTAGATGTCTCAAAGAATGACTCTGGTGTGCAAGAATAATGTGTACATGAAGCAGGAAAAAATCTGAACATTTCATTTGACTTCTGACAGATTGAAAGTACCAGTATTAAAGAATCTATGTAACTCTGGGAAAATCTATATCAAAGATAAAATTCAAATTATCCTAATTAAAATAATTATGTGAGGTCGTACCTATAAATTTGGGGAAATAAAGAAAGAGAGAGGAATGGGGTTTAATGTTCACTCGACACAGACTAGGTCATTTCGGGACTAACATATGGTTCAATTTTATTTCAATAATTCACTTGCGTTGCGTGTAAGGGTTTTTAGCAATGGGAGGAAGCCGGAGGACCCTGAGAAAACCCACAAGGTTGGACAAGTGACCCTACTCCTTGTCATGTACAACCGGGGAATCGAAAATCGACAGGAAGACTATTTATATAAGCCGCTATAAGATAGACTTCAGTGCATTGATAGGATATTGATTCTGTATCACTGTATACATTTTTCTTTTGCCAGAAATTCACCAGGCATTTATCCACAATTAAAAAAAGTAAATTAAATTACAAACCATCAAACATTAAAATAATTGTTGATACTGGCATCTTTAATTCCGAAGAGAAATGTTCTTTAAGTTGTAGCACTGTTTGACCCAGAGTACAAGCTAATGTTACAACCTGTCCACTTGGCATTAATACAAACTTGACTGAAAAAAAAAAATCAAAATTATCATATTTTATGACAAAGACATTAAAATTTAAGTTATATTATCCTCTATGGCAATTAATTTACAAAGCAAATAAAATGCATTTAATATCATACTTTTCTGAAGACAAGCTTATGAGAGAGAGAGAGAGAAAGAGTGAGAGAGAGAGAGAGATTTCAGGACTAAGCAAATATAGCCATGTCTCGTTGAAAACATGACTAAGCTTATGCATTTTTCTCTGACAACCTACATTTACAAGGTTTGTAAAAACTTCTCCAAGGTCATTGAAAATTGCAGTTTTTACATGAAATTTAAATATTCATTACTTATTTACTGCCATTGTGTTTATTTTAAAGAAAAGTGATATTTTGATTATAAAACATCATCTTAAAATGTGGTAATTTGTTGAAGTTTTTAGATTGTCGGAAAAAATATGCCACACTTTCTCGATGTGACAATGACAACATAATCTGTTTGCTTTACATCATGTTTTTATACATCATTATTCTGATTGACATTGTGAATCAAGCTATTCTACTAAGAACATGAATAAGCATGATTAAATAAAATGAAGTATATCACAACAAAGCTAAAAGCTGACCTGTGGCAGTTGCATCAAAACTAACACCTTCTTTTGCTTCTGTTTTCATTTCTTCTGCAGTTGTTGTTTCTTGATCTTGATGAGGTGCTTCCTCTGTAGTTTTGGTTTCTGTACTTTGGTCTTTTTTCAGATCAGAACCATTTTCTTCCACTGGGTTTGATTCTTCTTCACCATCAATCTTTACATCTTCTCTTTGTTCCTCTGCAGCATCTTCTGCTTTCTCTTCCACTGGATCATCTCCCTTTACCTCTGCTGATGGTTGATCTTCTTTGGGAACATCGTCCGTTTCAGCCTGTTCTGTATCCGCTGCTGGTTGCTCAGAAACCTCTGGTTGTTCAGTGACTGCTGGTTGATCTTCAACTGTTTCTGCTACATTTTCTTCTGTTCCTTGAGTTTCTTCAATTGTCTGGTCATCTACTGTTGGTTCTTCTGCATCATTCTGTGTCTGATCTCCAGGAGATGCTTCAACTCCTGTAGTTTCATCATTGGGTGCAGGCTGTTCTTCATTTGGGATAATTTCTGTATTTTCTGTTGGCTGAGTTTCCTCAACAATATTCTCTTCTTGATCAGCCATGTTTAATTTTTCAACCGATGTCACCTGAAAATAAGAGTAACTATTTTCATTGGCACAATGTAACTTCTAACTAGACCTATGAATTAATAAAATACCACAAAAAGGCAATACAAAAAAATAATTTGTGATTATTTTAGTTTCAGCGTCATTTGTAACAAGTGACCAGAATGAACAGGGCTAGACATATTCCACAACTCATGTCAAACGGTGACGCCATGAGAGCATGCGCAGTAGACTGGAATAACCAGACGCTAGAAATTTCTATTCGGTTGAGACTCGTGCTGTATTTCGCTGGATCTAACTGATTTGAAATTAAGAGTCAAAACGGAAACAATTGAATGTAAATCATTTCATATACCATCAGATTACATTATTATATATGTGTTGCTATGGGTCAATTTCTAGGTCCTAAATAATAGCGATTTAGCTCCTTTAAATTTAAATCCATTTTTGTAAACTATCAGTCTTTATTATGCCTGTACCAATGCATATCTATATTCTTTGGAATTTCAGGAATAATAATTATTAAAAAGTCTGTGGTAAGGCAGTAAAAGGAGCCACATGATGACAGTTGTAATAAATAAAAGCCACCAGAGTTCGGGTAAGCTGGTAATGCATTACAAAAATGACACATATAAATAACTAAATCTAATTGGCATAGCAAAGATATAGTCATTTATAAATAACAGGAATAATAGACAAAACTAGTTTTCAAATCACTAAATAAAATGCAATAAATACCTTAATTTATTCAATGTCTGACAGGTTTTATATTATATATCTTTATTTTATTTAATGAATTTTTCCAAATAAAAAATTTGGATGTGGAAGTACTTTTTTATACTTGGAAAATAAAAACCTCTTTAATTAAAATTGATCCAGTCAATCCCCTTAATGACACTCAATGGACTTAATGTACACACCCATTAAATTACCAGTCAACACTCTTATCTGATTACTCTGTAGGCCTATTGTCTTCTTTCAACTTATATTACCAATCAGTAAACTGACAGATAATCTTAGTAGTCATGTGTTACCATTGTCATTTGTGGATTATTAATTTAAGAGATTATCATTTAAAAATATCTCTTGCAGTTAAAAACACATCATAAAAATATACGATACTATTTTGCTTTTAAATCTAATCATAAATTGGTTACCATCGTCAATCTACAATTTATAAAGTGGATATAATAACACCATGGCAATGTTTTGGTTGATAAGAAATAATCAATAACAAAAGTACATGTATCAATTTTGAGATGTCAATTACCATTACTATAGAAAATGTAACAAACTGTTTTGACTACATATCCTTATTTTAAAGATCCCACAAAAGTATTTATCGAGTGGTTATTTCCAATAAAACTATGTCAATTTTGGTACGGTATGGAAAGTAGAGTCAACCAATCTAACCAGAATAATACTGGATTCCTTGAAAAACACCCATGGAGGACAAAAATGAGAGACTGTTATTAATTGGCAGCCCGACAATTAAGGGCTGTCTGCTTGAGTGACATCAAAGGTTGCACGTGTAGGTCTGACCTACTTGCTTGATGGATAATCAGAGAATTTATTTAATTAGGCGTCAATATTTATGAAATGGACAGCGATTAAAGACAAAATCATCTTTTATGTGCAATGAATTCTCCTCCGGCTTCGCACCCGTTGCTAGTTACCATGACAACCAAGTCACATGACTTCTTTTAATAGATTTTTTTTAGCTTGTGGGGTATTTCCTCGCGAATAGTCAGTCTACAGAGGGGTTTGACAGATAAATTAGTTTGAATATGTTTTTAGTCGAAATATACCATCAAATTACCCAGTTTTTCCTTGGGGAGGTATCTTTAACAAGATTTAGAAGTAGTGATGGTCTAATATAATCAGTTTTAACATCGGTAATTGGCCGATAAGAGGCCTATCGGTATCGACCAATACTCAGCCATTTTGTCGATGCTGGAGTCGCCAATATCTGTTCAAAAGGACTCAGGAAATAACTCTAAAATATCATTCGAGTTGTGAACAATTAAATCATTAATAACATCATTTTAGTTAACATAAAAGGAAATAATAATATTAATTAACAGTGCAAAATCCTTACCGGTATTTATGGGAAATTGTTTAAACCACTCAATACTGCGGTCAAGTCAGGTTTATTTTCCACTAGTTAGGGGTTGGAACAGGTATTGGAGGAAGAGCTGAGACTGAGTGGGAGATCTCGGGACGATTAATCTGGATCCCACATACATATCCTTTACCGCCCCCCCCCCCACCCCCAACACATGCCACCCTGGCCTGGGCCGCCACTGAACTTTTCGTGATATCGCTATTATACTCTTTGCTTTCGCTATGGCGGCAGATTGGTCTTATCTTAGTATCTCTTTTTCTATTATTTAAGTTTTGGCAAATTTGGCCCAACTAAGCCTACTGCGATAAGAACTAATTAAGATTAAGAAGAAGACTGTAGGGCCTGGACTTCGATTTGATCTAGGCCTAACTGCAGAGACAGTTTATTTAGCTAGTCTATTTTTTTTATATATGTTGTATCAGTTACGTTGAACATTATAAAATTGACCAAACTAATCAAAAATAACATAAATAGGTAGTGTAAAAGAACTTACATGAGGGGATCCGTCAAACCTGCTATCACACAAAGGCAGCCATTAAAAACCTGTTGTATTGATCCATTAGTTGCTATGGTGGGCCGCCATCGCTAGATATAACTGTATCTGTGGTTGGTCGCAGTTTGTTGATTAGCCAATCACCTTTCACGTTACACAAAAACCGCCATAGCTCTTGTTAACGTTAACACTGGAAGTTGATAATATCAACAAATCGGAAAATAAACCGATTTCTTCGTTTCCATTTCGAAGAATCGGAAAACATAATGCTAACGGAAATATAGAGCATCTTTGAAATAATACAGCCAAAGTAAGAACATCACAAAGTAAGTTGTTTGGACTGGGTAATTAATATAAGAAACACTCTCTGAGTCTTAGTCTTAGTACTAGGCTAGTAGTTTGTTTTTTCTCTCCTTTTTTTCTTACTGATTCTTATGTTATACTAGGCCTAGCTAGTCACTCATATATTAACTTAAACTAGGCTAGATCTACAGTCTTCTTTAAAATGTTGTTAGATTCTTGAAGAAGATAAGCCTCAAAGATTTACTAGGCAACACTCTTTTTTTTTATTAGGCTTATCTTAGGCTACGGTATTATAAAAGCTTACTTAAAGTAATTAAGTAAGAAGACTGAAGTTATTTATTTCTAATTTTATATTGCCTTTAGTTAGTTGCTTTAGCCTAGCCTTTCATCCCATCCAAATGACAAATAAATAAACACTTTAATTGCCAGCTCCGTTCGGGCACATGACAACCACATAGGAAAATCCTTGGGATCTTCCTCGGGCAAAATCAAGACAAAAACCCTTGATTTATGACATTTACGGTATTTAATTTAATATCTGTGACTCACTGGCATCATTTTTTTAAAAAGATAAACCTACAGTACCACAAACTGGAAGTGGCTAAATAAAAGATTGAGGCAAGCCCAAATTTTTCAATGTTTATTATAATAAGCTTATTTGTTTTTTTCAGATGGCTGCAATGAATGGAGATTATCCTGCCTTGAAATCAGAAGGAACTGAAAGATCATTAAAAAGAGACCGTACAAAACTAGGTGGTATAGGTCCAGATGGCTATCCAAGATTACCACCAATCAAAAAGCCTGTATCATCTAAAGATGATCCGTATTCAGACAGCAAATTAATGACATTTAGATTAGCTAATCATAAACAAGCTCTTTTGATGCAGATATTGTAAGTTTGTGAATGTAGCCTAGTCTATTTTCGTTTTATCAACAAATTGTAATTCTGAGGTCTTGAAACCAGAAACTTGTTGCTAAAGAAAACTTGATATAATGAACTTTAAGATCAACGCAATAATTTAAACCAGAAAATTTTCAATTAAAAATACAAGATCAAGGAAAAACAATTAGTCAGAATATACACTACAAGGCGAACATATTTATTATTTTGTAAGCACCTAATATGATATTGTATATACTATTTTATTTTAAACTATCACATTAATTGAAAGATTTCTGGTACAAATTGCCATACATTACACTGAAAAACTCTTCTCATGACATCAGAATTTTGAAGTTCTACTTATTTTAAAATATTAACCTTACATTAATGTATTCTTTGTATCTAATTTTTCTTGTTATAAATATATGTGATGTGAATATTTATCGTGACCAATAGCCTACCTAGCACTGGTCTATTGCATAAATATGACATGTCAATTACCAAAATCAAATTTAACATCCTACTTTTCTGCACCAACTGGGATAATGAAGTAGGGTATACACAATTAAGGATGTAACGGTTCAAAATTATTTACTACACGCGTTCCTTTCACAAGCCATGCTGTATAGTACCAGTAGTGACCTGTATGTTATCAAGTTTGACCCCATCGGCTCAGCACCGTAGGCTCTTTTGATAATATAAACAATTTTGAAGGTCAGGTATGATATGGAAACGAATACCGGTTAGTAATTTTTTGAACTGGTTCACCAGTACAACCGAACCGTGACCAGTTAACCGAAAAGCCATTTACTTCCTTATACACAATGCAATGTGCTATAATAAGTGGAATTTTGCCTGGATAACAAGGGTTCTTTTGCGTGCACACTAGTTTGTACACATGACTTCAGTTTTTGTCCCATCTGAACTACTAGACCATGTTCCTTAATAATAATGATAATAACAGTTACTGTATCTTTATATTTTAGACAAGATAATGCCATAAAAACTATGAATGATACCAAATCTAAAACAGTGAGAGTTTTAGATAGACCTCCTAGTCCCAAATATCCAGCAGAGGTAATCCGTCTAATCATTTATTAATTTAGATCAAAAATTGTCAAATTAGAATATTTGCCCATCCAACTTTTTAAGATTATGATCCTGTTTTTCTTACATGTCCAATCTTTGTCTCCTCATTTGTTCTTCATGTGGCTTTACCATTAATTTATTTTTTACTTCTTTTTAATTTACCAATGTCTAAATCCTGTTTATTGATCATTCATACAAATTTTAATCTCAGAATCCATTTAGCAGCATGGTAAAGTATTTTTCTCTTCTTGACTTTTTTGTGTGTTAAATTGTAATAACATCCATTATTTTGTACCTGAGTATTGCACCTGTTTTTCATTTTTAGACAAAATAATTAAAGGAGGCAACTCGATATCATCCTAAGTCTTCGACATTGCATACATGACTTATTGGTCAATTTAGATCAACATTGATTAATGCTGATATCTTACCGTCCAAACATGGGCTTTTGATATCCAAAATTTTGACAAAATGAAAATTTTAAAATTCGCACACGAATCACGTGCCAGAATGCTTTTGAGCACCATTTGTAATGAGTCAACTGGCGTGGTTTTGAATTATTGATATAAAATTGAACCATGTGTTTATCCCGAAATGACGTAGTGTGTGTTGAGTGGACATTCAACCCCATTCTCTCTCGCTCTCTCTCTCCATTTGTAATGAAGCGACTCGGTGAACGAGGCTAAACATATCCCACGTAGCAGAATATTACCGGTGTAAACTAGAATAACCAGACGCTAAAGACTACCATTCAATTTGGACTCTTTGCATATTTCTCCAAACATAACTGATTAGAAATTACAGTAAAAACAGAAACGATAGAATGTAAATTGCGACCTATTTGTGTCCATATCTAGGTGTCAAAGAATAGAGATTTAGCTCCTTTAAGTGTATCACTATCACTTAACATACCCTGGGCCACGGTATTCAAGTGTTAAGGTGTTGGACTCTTGATTCTTCAAGTCCAGCCTTCACCCTGCAAAATATTCCTAACTCACACTACACAGGTAACCAGAGAAATAAAAATTGCCATATGTTTGTCCCAAAATGACCAAGGTATTGTGTTGATGAGACATCATAACACCATTTCATTCCATTCAACTATGCACATTTCTAACATAACACACCTCCCCAGCCCACCCCTCCTCGATGGTAGACAATTGCCAGTAATGATTCCCCATCTATATGGTTTTCAATTTATTTCATTGTGCTGTGGTTTCCTGCCTTGAAGTATATCAAGCTATTGAAATGTGTGTTTTGTGTTAAATGTGGTGGGCATGCTTTTGTTGTGAATAACATTTTCAGCACAGTTAAATATTTAAGAAGAAACAGCTTGTAGATTTTGTGATCTTACCCAACCAGTTATCTCATCATCTCAAAAACATTGATACAGCATATCAATTCTGTTTACCTTTTCCTCTTTGATGGTGCCAGCAAAACCATTCACTATTTAGACCAATTAGAGGATCGTTGAACATCTCCCAAATAGTCAGGCAGTATTATTGAATTCCAAATGGGTCCAAAACATTTCCCAATATTTGAAGCATAAAAGAGATATCTGGTAGCAAAAACAAATATTTTTTTTTGTACTCACCATCTACTAAGAAGTGGACTGTTCATTTAGATAACCAATATATTTCTGATATTGGGTAATGAAGACTTTCTATGATTTGCTTCGTGATTGTGAAATGTATCGCACATTGTTGGGTCGGAGAAGAACTACTACGTATTCACATTTTACTTCTCTAACTGTTTGGTCACCTAACATTAAATGTCCGTCTATTCCATTAAATCAAAAAATAACCACCTATCACTGAGTTAAAAGTCAACAGATCATTTTTATATATTATTTTAATCATTTCTTTTATGTCTGTATAATATCCAGAGGGTAGTGTATCCTATAAAAACCCACATTTTGTTGTACTAGAGCCCTACGATAGTTACAGTATGTAGTCTCATATCCTAGGATTGTTCTGTCATAAACTTGACACTTTGTGAAGAGGGGTGAAAGTATAGTACACATACATTAATTATATTTACAGTGTTTTTTAATGTTATACAATAAATGAAATTATGACCGAATAAATGATATTCTTTCGTAAAAATAATGATTTGTTTGTAAAGATTAATTTATGATATTTTATAACTTTGTACAGATGATGAGTAGTGATAGAAATACCAGGGTAAGTTGGTGGTAGACTGATAGCTGGCTAGATACATCTGTATTAACTTTCCAGTACCACAAGTCTCTAACGATAGTCTAACCATGGAACTTGTATTACCATCCCCATCCTCTAGACTCTAACCATAACACTTGTATTAACACCCCATCCTCTTGTCTCTAGCCATAGTCTAACCATAATACTCTCATTACCGTTTCATCCGCTGGTCTATAACCATAGCCTAACCATCATATTCCCATTAACAACCTCATCCTCTAGTCTCTAACCATAACCTAGCCATAATACTCACATTACCATCCCATCCTCTAGTCCCTAACCATAGCCAAACCATAAAACATGTTTTAACATCCCACCCACTAGTCTCTAACCATAGTCTAACCATAATACTCCTTATGTACTATACCATCCCATCCACTAGTCTCCAACCATAGCCTGACCATAATACTCCCATTACCATCCCACTCACTAGTGTCTAACCATAGCCTGACCATAATACTCCCATTACCATCCCACCCACTAGTCTCTAACCATAGCCTGGCCATAATACTCCCATTACCATCCCACTCACTAGTCTCTAACCATAGCCTGGCCATAATATTCCCATTACCATCCCACCCACTAGTCTCCA